AGGAAAGCCAGACAGGCGACGAGCCAGAGGAAAGCCAGCAGGCGAGACCCGAGGAAACCCAGAAGGCGAGCCAGGGGAAAGCCGAAGGCGCGAGCCAGGGGAAAGCGAAGGCGAGGGCCCAGAGGAAACCAGACAGGCGACGAGCCAGAGAAAGCCGAAGGCGCGAGCCAGAGGAAACCCAGACAGGCGACGACCCAGAGGAAAAACCAGACAGGGGGAAAAACCCGGGGGAAAGCCGACAGGCGAGACCCAGGGGAAAAACAGACGGAGAGACCCAGAGGAAAGCCAGAAGGCGACGAGCCAGGGGAAAACCCCAGACGGCGATAGCCGGGGAAAACCCAGACGGCGACGAGCCAGGGGAAAAGCCAGACAGGCGACTAGCCAGGGAAAGCCAGACAGGGGGACAGCCAGAGGAAAGCCAGACGGGCGACGACCCGGGAAAGCCGACAGGCGAGAGCCGAGGAAAGCCAGACAGGCGATAGCCAGGGGAAACCCAGCAGGCGACGCCCAAGGGAAAAGCAAAACGGACGAGCCAGGGGGAAAACCCAGGACAGGCGACTAGCCAGGGGAAAAAGCCGACGGGCGAGAGCAGAGGAAAGCCAGAAAGGCGAGACCCAGGGAAAAAGCCAAAAGGCGACGAGCCAGAGGAAAGCAAAAGGCGCGACCCAGAGAAAGCAGACGGCGAGGCGGGGAAAACCCGCCGGCGATGGAATTTTAAAAGGGCGTTGGCCCCTACTTTTTCCAACCCCCCATCGAGTCAAACAAAAAGGACCCCGGGGTTTGTCCCCCCTCACCCCAGAACGGGGGTAACCCTGGTAAATTTTTAACCCCAAAAGGGGTTATTTTCAGTGGGGAGGGGGGGGGGGAGATATTTCCAGTGTTTATCACCACCAGGTAACGGGAAAATTTTCCCAGCCCTTTTTTTATGCCACCCGACATTCAGGGGGTTTGGGGGAGTGTTGCAGAGAAAGATAGATCTAGGACAGTTTTGCCTTGAATAACGAAGAAAACAACGTGGGCCGATCCTAGATCAGCCCCCTCCTATTGGAGGTTTTTAGAGTGGGCCTGGTTTTACTGCAGGTTCGGAAAAAGCAACGGGTCTTAAATGTTGAGGGACGGTCCTCGCAAAAACTCCAAAAGTGACCTGCCCTTTACCCCGCCCTTTTTTACGAAAACCCGGTTTATCGGAAAATGAAAGAAGCATTTTACGCAGAAAAACTTTTTTAAATACACTGACCCCTCCGTGATTTTCTAGAACCCTCTGGGGAAGTTGTGCCACTTGGTGCCCATTAAGTATGTGTGTCAAGGTAGAGGGGTGTCAGGGCTGTTTTCGAGGGCTGGGTAAGGCTGTGTCAGAGGGGTTTTTCGGGGCGGTCTGTGCAGAGGGGTGCCCCTAGGGCTGTGCATGGGGGTGTCAAGGGGTGTTAGGGGTGTGTATAGGGGGTGTCAGAGGGCTGTGTTAGGGTGTGTCGAGGGGTGTAATAGGGCTTTTTCGGGGCTGGTCATAGGGCTGGCAGAGGGGGTGTCATAGGGCTGTGTCGGGGGGGGGGTGTCAGAGGGGTGTGTTAGAGGGCTGTGTCAGAGGGCGTGTCAGAGGGCTTGCAGAGGCTGTGTCAGAGGGCGTGTCAGAGGGCTGTGCAGAGGGCTTGTAGCTGTGGTCCCCTGTACTCAGCTGGAGGCACGGGCTGTAACGCCAAGGGAGTGGGTCGATCCCGGGGGGCCCCCATACACAAAAAAAAAAAAAGTATGCACGCATGCTGTAAGCGATTGGATAAAAGTCTGCAAAGGGGAATTATTTTTATTTAGGGGTGCAGAGGGGGTCAAAGGGGGTGTCAGAAAGGGGACAGAGGGTGTGTCAGAGTGTAGAGGGCTTGTAGGGGCTGTGTATAGTGCAGAGGGCTGGTCATAGTTTCAGAGGGCGGTTTAAGGTCGAGGGGTGTGCATAGGTCATAGGGGTGTGTCAGAGGGGTTTTGGGAAGGGTGTGTTAGGGGCGTGAGAGGGCTTGAGAGGGCTGTATAGGGCGGCGAGGGCTGTTCAGGGGCTGTGTAGAGGGGGTCTAGTGTCAGAGGGCGGGTCATGGGCAGAGGGGGTTCAGAGGGCGTGTAGAGGGGTGGTCAGAGGTTTGGGGCGTGTCAAGGGGGTTTTCCCTAGGTAGAGGGCCGTGTCATAGGGGTGTGCAGAGGGCTGGGAGAGGGCGTGTCAGAGGGGTGTGTAAAGGGTGTGTCAGAGTGTTAGAGGGCGGGGCAAGGGCGGTAGAGGGCGGCTAGGGTGTGTCGAGGGCGGTCGAGGGCGTGTATGGGCTGGTTTAGAGGGGTGGTAGAGGGGGTTAGGGCTGGTCATAGGTCGGGGTGTGGGGCTGTGTCAGAGGGCTGTGTCATGGGTGTGTCAGAGGGTGTGTAGAGGGCGGTCATAAGTCAGAGGGGGTGTCAAGGGCGGTCGAGGGTGGCCAGAGGGGGGTGTCAGAGGGTGTGTCAGAGGGCTGTGTATAGTGTCAGAGGGGTGTGTCATAGTGTCAGGGGCTGTGTCATAGGGCTGTGCGAGGGCCGTGTTTATAGGGCGTGTAAAAGGGCTGTGTCAGAGGGCTGTGCAAGGGCGTGTCAGAGGGCTGTGTCAGAGTGTTTGAGGGTGGTCATGGGCTGTTCGGGGCCGGTCATAGGGTGTGTCGAGGGCGGGGTAGAGGGCGGTAAGGGGGGGAGGGGCTGGCGAGGGCTGTGTCAGAGGGCGTGTCAGAGGGCGGTATAGTGTCATAGGGCGTGTCATAGGGGGTGGTCAGAGGGCTGGCGAAGGGGTGTCAGAGGGTGTTTTAGGGGGTGGTGAGGGCGGTCCCCCCTACAAAAGAACAATCCCCCTTGACCGGCAAAAAATTAGACAGATTTCAAAATCTTTAAATAAAACCCCCCCAAAATTTTTTTAAATTATTTATTTTTGTATTGAACTTTTTCAAGTAAGTTTTAAAAAACCCAAACAGGGTCCTTTTTATTTATGTGTTTAGGGGGGATATGGGGAAGATGGGGACGTGGGGAGGGGGGGACGGGGGGAGAGATGGGGGCAGTGGGGGGGCTGGGGTTATAGGGGAAGTGGGGAGGCTGGGCAGTGGGGAGGGATGGGGGCAGTGGGGGGTTTTAGGGGGCAGGGGGGAATAAGGGGAAGGGGGATATATAGGGGACGTGGGGATATAGGGACAGTGGGGGGTATATGGGGAAGTGGGGGAAAATAGGAGCGGGGGTATTTGGGGGGCAGTGGGGGTATTGGGGACAGTGGGGAATAAGGGGAAGTGGGGGGGTATATAGGGGACAGGGGGATAAATAGGGGAAAGTGGGGGAATATAGGAGCAGGGAAAATAGGGGACAGGGGGATATATAGGGGCCCGTGGGGAATATAGGGGAAGGGGGAAAATAGGGGACAGTGGGGATATATAGGGGACAGTGGGGATATTATAGGGGACGGGGGATATATAGGGGACAGTGGGTTATATAGGGGACAGTGGGGGATATATAGGGGACAGTGGGATATATAGGGGACAGGGGATATATAGGGGAACAGTGGGGATATATAGGGGGACAGTGGGGATATATAGGGGACAGTGGGGATATATAGGGGACAGTGGGATATATAGGGGACAGTGGGGGATATAGGGGACAGGGGATATATAGGGGACAGGGGGATATATAGGGGACAGGGGTATATAGGGGACAGTGGGGAGGGATGGGACAGTGGGGATATATAGGGGACAGTGGGGAGGGGATGGGGACAGTGGGGGAGGGATGGGGATATATAGGGGACATTGGGGAGAGATGGGGACAGTGGGGAGGGCTGGGGACAGTGGGGAGAGATGGGGACAGTGGGGAGGGCTGGGGATATATAGGGGACAGTGGGGAGAGATGGGGATATATAGGGGACAGTGGGGAGGATGGGGAGTGGGGAGAGATGGGGGTGGACGTGGACAGTGGGGAGAGATGGGGACAGTGGGGAGGGATGGGGACAGTGGGGAGAGATGGGGACAGTGGGGGGGCTGGGGATATATAGGGGACAGTGGGGAGGGGCTGGGGACAGTGGGGAGGGATGGGGACAGTGGGGATTATAGGGGACAGTGGGGATATATAGGGGACAGTGGGGATATATAGGGGACAGTGGGGATATATAGGAGACAGGGGATATATAGGGGACAGTGGGGATATATAGGAGACAGTGGGGATATATAGGAGACAGGGGATATATAGGGGACAGTGGGGATATATAGGGGACAGTGGGGAGGGATGTGGACAGTGGGGAGGGATGGGGATATATAGGGGACAGTGGGGAGAGATGGGGACAGTGGGGAGAGATGGGGACAGTGGGGAGAGATGGGGACAGTGGGGAGGGCTGGGGACAGTGGGGAGAGATGGGGATATATAGCGTTTTACCACAAAACATGATTATTTGGCTCTCTAAAATAAAATTACCTTGCAATATATTTCAAATAAATCATGTCAGTCTTTTCACTAGCCCATGTCATGGTAAGATTCATCATGTCTCTTTTCACTGGCCCATGTCATGGTAAGATTCATCATGTCTCTTTTCACTGGCCCATGTCATGGTAAGATTCATCATGTCTCTTTTCACTAGCCCATGTCATGGTAAGATTCATCATGTCTCTTTTCACTGGCCCATGTCATGGTAAGATTCATCATGTCTCTTTTCACTGGCCCATGTCATGGTAAGATTAATAATGTCAGTCACTGTTCCCTTTCTCCTGTGTTCTGAGAGAGCGAGACTATCCTTTGGGTAATATTTGCCACAAGCCAACATTGTCTCCACAATTTTCTCCATTGGTCAATTTCAAGAAATATTTCCAACGAACGACCTTTTTTTTTCGTAACCCCAAATGTTGCATAACGGTGTGAGAAAATGTCCCCTGTTATCTGCAGAGGGACAGGTGAGACACACACAGGGGGAGGAGGAGTATGCAGATTCAGACCCGTGGTTCCTGTATAAAAGACCCTCTGTGCGCCTTTACTCCATCACGCTGAAGACATGAACTGTCTACTGATCCTCTCCTGCCTTGCCTTCGCCGGCGCAGCCTACGGTGAGAAAATGTCCACGTGTCTGCCAATGTCTGCCTTTACATGAGTTGCAGGATACCTCAGGGTGCTTTTTTTAGTCGTTCAGTTTTTATTCTTTATTTGTATTCACAGGTTTTTTTTCCCTGTGAAGCACATTGTGTTGCATTCCATGTCTGAAAATCTACTGTAGAAATAAAGCTTGATTTGATTTATTTATCGGGTAAAATAAATATTTGACATGAGTGACTGCTCTACTCAATATCATTTCAAGTGGTACTACACTAGGGCAACATTGTGTTTATATTCTGTATAGAGGAAACTGCCAACTGTTAGAATCTATTAGAGCAGCCAAACCAGACTAATATCTGTCTCTGTTATCAGGCTGTGGCACCCCCGCCATCCAGCCTGTGGTGTCTGGTTACGCCCGCATCGTCAACGGTGAGGAGGCTGTGCCCGGCTCCTGGCCCTGGCAGGTGTCCCTCCAGGACTACACTGGATTCCACTTCTGCGGCGGCTCTCTGATCAACGAGAACTGGGTTGTGACAGCCGCCCACTGCAGCGTGAAGTGGGTGCTGGCTACCGAGCCATAACCTTCATAAGTGTAGCAACATGCTAACTGGCTAAAAGCTAGCTAATGCTAACTAGCTAAAAATAAAACTAGCTAAAAGCTGGATAATGCTAGTGCTAATGCTAATTAGCTGAAAGGTGGCTAGCATATGGTTAAAGTAGCTAAATTATGTTTATTTTGTGAAACTATTTCAGGACCTCTCACCGTGTGATCCTGGGAGAGCACGATCGCTCGTCCAACGCTGAGGACATCCAGACCATCAACGTTGGCCAGGTAAACTTCCACAAACAACTATTACTACAACTTTTAACATCTATACTTTTATTTTTTTAAGTAAAGATAAAAGATCAGTGAAAGTTCCACCTGGAAGTCACATCAGCTCAAATGATCAGTTCATGATCTGTTTTCGGTGAATTAAAACATTGAATCTTAAAATCTCAAATGTTTGTCGCCTTGTGCCCCCTTACTAGGTCTTCAAGCACCCCAAGTACAACGGCTTCACTATCAACAACGACATCACCCTGATCAAGCTGGCCACCCCCGCCGCCCTGGGAACCCGTGTGTCCCCCGTGTGCGTCGCTGAGACCAACGATGACTTCGCCGGTGGCATGACGTGTGTGACCTCCGGTTGGGGTCTGACCCGCTACAACGGTAACCAATCGCTACAGCTTTTCCCATCAAGATCTTTCCAATCACCAGAGGTCTCATTGTAAAGTCAGACTAACCTTGGGTCGTTGTTTCTTGACTAGCAGTATGTTCGGTCTAGTTGAAAGATTCTGTTTCAATTGGCTCAGTCAATTTGAAATATTCAATTTCAGTTGGCTCAATCTATTTGAAAAATTATGTTTCAGTTGGGTTTCAGTCTTGCATTGCTTAGTAGTCTTTTAAAACTATGTGAGAAAGATGGTGATTGGCTGGCCGGTTCTGTAGTGTTACCTGACCCTTTGGTGTCCTCTGGTTCCAGCTCCCGACACCCCCGCCCTGCTGCAACAGGCTGCTCTTCCCCTGCTGACCAAGGCTCAGTGCCAGAAGTTCTGGGGCTCCAAGATCACCGACCTCATGATCTGCGCTGGAGCCGATGGCGCCTCTTCCTGCATGGTGAGTAACACAAACCATAGGGTTGCAAAATTCAGGCAAACTTCCTAAACATTCCTAGGGTTTCCAGAATTCCTAGCTGGAAGATTCCCAGATTTTTTGCAAGCCTACACAAACCATATGGCACACTGGCGCACTGTTACAGGCCATGACACTGAACCTACCACCGTCTGACTAATGGCAGAGTTCAATCGGAACTGTTACAGTTATTTACACTGGCTTAAAACGTCATTGCATCGATAATAGCTTGGCGTTTCCTTAGTTCATCACTTTTTGGAAACAGCTGAGCACAAACTCTGAACATAAAAAGTGATCACAGAGAGAGACTGACATTTGACAGACTCTAACTCTTTCTATGCTCCTTTCTGTGTTTCAGGGTGACTCTGGTGGCCCCCTGGTCTGTGAGAAGGCTGGTGCCTGGACCCTGGTCGGTATTGTGTCCTGGGGCAGTGGAACCTGCACCCCCACCATGCCCGGAGTGTACGCCCGCGTCACCGAGCTCCGCTCCTACATCGACCAGACCATCGCCTCCAACTAAGTCTTCAGTTTCATCTTCATAATAAATAAAAGTAGTTTCTAGTAACGTATTTGTTCCTTGGTGTTTCTTGAAACGTGGGTTTTGATAGTTAAAGCAGCAATCAGCAGTTGAAAGAATAACAAAGCATACTCGCCGCCACTGTTTCAGAAAAGCGGGGGGATTGGGGTTGAGAAATGTAACCACTCTCAAATTCAAAGATAGAGCTATGGATACAAGGACTGACCATCCATGATATCAACATTATAGTTTTGAGGCTATAGTTTTGGGGTCCTGATGTGGTAAGACAGTTGAACTAAGCTCACTAACAACACACCCTAATCGCTAACAACACACCCTCATCACTAACAACACACCCTCATAGCTAACAACACACCCTAATCGCTAACAACACACCCTCATCACTAACAACACACCCTCATCACTAACAACACACCCTCATCCCTAACAACACACCCTCATTGCTAACAACACCCCCTCATTGCTAACAACACACCCTCATCACTAACAACACACCCTCATTGCTAACAACACACCCTAATCGCTAACAACACACCCTAATCGCTAACAACACCCCCTCATTGCTAACAACACACCCTCATCGCTAACAACAGACCCTCATCGCTAACAACACACCCTCATTGCTAACAACACACCCTCATTGCTAACAACACACCCTCATCGCTAACAACACACCCTCATTGCTAACAACACACCCTCATCGCTAACAACACACCCTCATTGCTAACAACACCCCCTCATTGCTAACAACACCCCCTCAACCCTAACAACACCCCTCATTGCTAACAACACACCCTCATTGCTAACAACACCCCCTCATTGCTAACAACACACCCCCTCCCTAACAACACCCCCTCATTGCTAACAACACACCCTCATTGCTAACAACACCCCTCACAGCTAACAACACACCCTCATCCCTAACAACACACCCTCATTGCTAACAACACCCCCTCACTGCTAACAACACCCCCTCATTGCTAACAACACACCCTCATTGCTAACAACACCCCCTTATTGCTAACAACACACCCTCTCCTAACAACATACCTCTTCTAACAACACACCCTCATTGCTAACAACACCCCCTCATCGCTAACAACACACCCTCATAGCTAACAACACCCCCATTGAACAAGTACCACAATACAAATACAGTGAGGGAAAAAAGTATTTGATCCCCTGCTGATTTTGTACGTTTGCCCACTGACAAATAAATTATCAGTCTATTAATTTAATGGTAAGGTTATTTGACAGTGAAAGACGAATAACAACAAACACAATCCAGAAAAACGCATGTCAAAAATGGGATAAATTGATTTGCATTTTAAGAGGGAAATAGTATGGACCCTCTGCAAAACATGACTTAGTACTTGGTGGCAAAAAACCCTTGTGGCAATAACAGAGGTTCGACGTTTCTTGTCGTTGGCACCAGGTTTGCACACATAATCAGTAGGGATTGTGAGCACTCCACTTTGCAGATATTCTCCAAGTCATAAGTGCGAGGCTGACGTTTGGCAACTCGAACCTTCAGCTCCCTCCACAGATTTTCTATGGGATTAAGGCTGGATACTGGCTAGGCCACTCAGGACCTTAATGTGCTTCTTCTTGAGCCACTCCTTTGTTGCCTGGGCCGTGTGTTTTGGGGTCATTGTCATGCTGGAATACCCATCCACGACCCATTTTCAATGCCCTGGCTGAGGGAAGGAGGTTCTCACCCAAGATTTGACGGTACATGGCCCCATCCATCGTCCCTTTGATGCTGTGAAGTTGTCCTGTCCCCTTAGCAGAAAAACACCCCCAAAGCATAATGTTTCCACCTCCATGTTTGACGGTGGGGATGGTGTTCTTGGGGTCATAGGCAGCATTCCTCCTCCAAACACGGCGAGTTGAGTTGATGCCAAAGAGCTCCATTTTGGTCTCATCTGACCACAACACTTTCACCTAGTTCTCCTCTGAATCATTCAGATGTTCATTGGCAAACTTCAGACGGGCCTGTATATGTGCTTTCTTGAGCAGGGGGACCTTGCGGGCGCTGCAGGATTTCAGTCCTTCACGGCGTAGTGTGTTACCTATTGTTTTCTTGGTGACTATGGTCCCAGCTGCCTTGAGATCATTGACAAGTAGTTCTGGGCTGATTCCTCGCTGTTCTCATGATCATTGCAACTCCACAAGGTGAGATCTTGCATGGAGCCCCAGGCCGAGGGAGATTGACAGTTATTTTGTGTTTCTTCCATTTGCGAATAATCGCACCAACTGTTGTCACCTTCTCACCAAGCTGCTTGGCGATGGTCTTGCAGCCCATTCCAGCCTTGTGTAGGTCTATAATCTTGTCCCTGACATCCTTGGAGAGCTCTTTGGTCTTGGCCATGGTGGAGAGTTTGGAATCTGAAACAGGAAAGGGCCTTCCTCAAACTGTTGACACAAAGTTGGAAGCACAGAATCGTCTAGAATGTCTTTGTAGCATTAAGATTATTCCTCCTCCACCAAACGTTACAGTTGGTACTATGCATTGTGGGGCAGGTAGCGTTTTCCTGCCATCCGCCAAACCCAGATTCGCCAAACCCAGAGTCCAGTGGCGGCAAGCTTTACGCCACTCCAGCTGACGCTTGGCATTGCGTGCGTCTGCTCGGTCATGGAAACCCATTTCATGAAGCTCCCGACTAACAGCTCTTGCGCTGACGTTGCTTCCAGAGGCAGTTTGGAACTCGGTTGTGAGTGGTTCAAGGGGGGGCCCCCATTCAGTACCCCTAAACTCGGGGCCCTTTTTCCTAACCCCCTTTATAAGTTTAAAACCCTTTTGCGGGGGTTAAAAAAATTAAATGGTTGGGAGGGTTTCAAAACCGGGAAAAATTTGTGGTTTTTCGTTTCCCCCGGGGGAAACCTTTTTTTTTCCCCACACCCGGGGAGGGTTTTAAAACTTTCCGCTTAAAAAACCCCCCAAAAAAGAGGGGAGTCGGGGCAGTGCGCGCTTTTTCATCCAACCTGCCATTGAAAACCTTCTAGTGGCCTAAGGGGGGGGGGGAAAAGGGGGGTGTAATTTTAAACCCTTCGGTAAAATGCCAAACCCATTTTTAATAATCCAATTTTAAAAGGAAAAACTTTGGTTTTGGAAACGTGACCACTTTTTTAAGCGGTAAAAAAAAATAAGGGGCCAGTGTTTTAAAAGGTTTTTTACAAAAGCTTGGGGTTTAGGGAGTGCAAAATCCCCAAACCCCCCCAAAAACCCAAACACCTTAAGTTTTTAAAAATTTAAAAAAGGAAAAAAAATTGAAAAAAAATTTTTAAAAAAAAACCCTTTAAAGAAGAGAGGAAGAAGTAAACTTTTTAAAGGAGAACCCCCCTTTTCCCAGCATTCCCCCGGGGTTTTTTCATTTTTACGTCACATTTTTTTCCCTTTAACAAGGGGGGGTGCTTTTTTTTTCTCCCAAACGAAAAAAAACAAAAAACGTTTTTGGGGTTCCCCCCTTAGGAAAAATCCCCCCAATTGCCAAACGGTTTTCCTATTAGGGCCCAAAAGGGGGGCATCGCCCCCCTTTAAACCCCCGGGGGGAAAGGTTCAAAACATAAAAAAACCTCAAAAAAAAAACCCCCCCCAAATTTGGGCCCCCCCCGGGGCGGCCCCCCCCAAAATTAGGGGGGTTTTTTTCCCCCACAGGGGGGACCCCGGAAACCCCCCCCCGGGGGGGCCTCCAAAAGTGGAAAGGGCCCGGGAAAAACGGGCCCCCGGGGGGGGAAACGGGGCCCCCCGGGGGAAAAATTTTGGGGCCCTCCCCCGGGGGCCCCAAACCCCCCCCCCAAAAAATTTTTTATTTAGTTTTCCCCCCAAAAAAAGGGTTCGGGAAAAATACCCTTTTTTTTAGGTTTTTTTTTTTTAAAGGGATTTTTTTTCTCCCAAGTTTAAAAAAAAAATTCATTACAATGGGCCAAAGGAAACCCGGACGAGGGGGAAGGGGGAAAAAAAAGATTTGGATGGAAAAGTTCTTTTCTTTGGGTTTCTTTTTGAAAAATAGTTTTCTTTTGGTTTTTTAAAGAGTCTTTTAATTTGGAGGGGGGGAGGGGGGGGGGTTTCCCGGGGTTTTTTTCTTTTCCCCCCCAGACCCCCCCTTGGAGGTTTTCCCCTGTGCCCTCACCGAATTTCCCCCCAACAGACCCAAAAAGGGGGGGCCCCTCCCCGCCTTTCCGCAGGTGGCCACTTCCCCCCGTTTTCTTTTTTTTCCCCTTTCCCCTTATCGGGGGTGAAAAAGGTGAAAAAGGGGCCCCCCGGGGGAAAAAAGGGGGAGGGGGAAAATTTGTTTGGGGGCCCCCGGTAAAAAAAAACCAAAATGCCAAAACCCTTTTTGGTTGGTTTAAAAATCTTTGGAATCGGGGTTTTTTAAAAAATTCCAGGGCATTTAATTTTAAAAGGCCCTTAAACCCCCACCCCCCAATAAATCCACCCATGGGATGCTTGTCTAAAAAACTGTAACTAAATGAACATGAATTCTTTTTTTCAGGTGACTCTGGTGGCCCCCTGGTCTGTGAGAAGGCTGGTGCCTGGACCCTGGTTGGTATTGTGTCCTGGGGCAGTGGTACCTGCACCCCCACGATGCTCGGAGTACACGCTGCGTCACCGAGCTCCGCTCCTACATCGACCAGACCATCACCTCCAACTAAGGTTGTCATAACTGTCAGACTGCTATGTATCACCAGCAGTAATGGGTTCACTTTCAATTCCATGTTGAATAAAGATCTAACACTGAAAGCTACTTCCTATTTCATGTTGAATAAAGATCTAACACTGAAAGCTACTTCCTATTTCATGTTGAATAAAGATCTAACACTGAAAGCTACTTCCTATTTCATGTTGAATAAAGATCTAACACTGAAAGCTACTTCCTATTTCATGTTGAATAAAGATCTAACACTGAAAGCTACTTCCTATTTCATGTTGAATAAAGATCTAACACTGAAAGCTACTTCCTATTTCATGTTGAATAAAGATCTAACACCGAAAGCTACTTCCTATTTCATGTTGAATAAAGATCTAACACCGAAAGCTACTTCCTATTTCATGTTGAATAAAGATCTAACACTGAAAGCTACTTCCTATTTCATGTTGAATAAAGATCTAACACTGAAAGCTACTTCCTATTTCATGTTGAATAAAGATCTAACACTGAAAGCTACTTCCTATTTCATGTTGAATAAAGATCTAACACTGAAAGCTACTTCCTATTTCATGTTGAATAAAGATCTAACACCGAAAGCTACTTCCTATTTCATGTTGAATAAAGATCTAACACCGAAAGCTACTTCCTATTTCATGTTGAAATAAAGATCTAACACCGAAAGCTACTTCCTATTTCATGTTGAATAAAGATCTAAACACTGAAAGCTACTTCCTATTTCATGTTGAATAAAGATCTAACACCGAAAGCTACTTCCTATTTCATGTTGAATAAAGATCTAACACCGAAAGCTACTTCCTATTTCATGTTGAATAAAGATCTAACACTGAAAGCTACTTCCTATTTCATGTTGAATAAAGATCTAACACCGAAAGCAACTTCCTTTGTTATTGGTCTATTAACCAATTTACCGCATGGTGACGTCACCACGGAGAGCCGAAACTCCCAGCCATGCAAACCTGCTGATTAGAAGGTCCAGTGTAGATTGTCTTTTCAACCGGCAACTATCAGGAAATAACACTGATTTTTTTTTAAAAGTCAGACTTTAACACTGTTAGTTTCATCAGCTGTTGTACAGTTTGACATAAAATACAGGAATAACAGAATGTTGACTGCACTGGGCCTTTAAGCCTTTGAACTATTTTTTTAAGCCTATAGCTGAAGTTAGACCTACTTTTCTTCACAAAACTTCTCCAGGGTGAAATAATAACCTCAGCTGGCCTCAAAGATCCCACAAACTGATGAAAGAACAGACGCAAATCCTCCCTCTCGACCTCCAAAGACTGATCCACCAGTGTTCCACCGCTGATTCTCAGCATCACATTGGTTACAACTTCAGTCATTAGACGACTGCTCTCAATTCAAAGGCACAATGTTTCACAGCAGTTTGAAGTACAATAGGCTTACTGTCAGATGATGTACAGTCATTTCCCTCACTGCATTAAACAGTAAACAAGACCTCTGATGGTCCTTCAGTTCAACAACTAAGACTTAACAAAACAAGACCTCTGACGGTCCATGAGTTACACAACCTGTCATGTCACTTGTCATGTTTTGTGTATTTTGTGGACCCCAGGAAGAGTAGCTGCTACTTCTGCAATAGCTAATGGGGATCCTAATAAACAAACAAACAAACAACTATCATGAGAATGATTATTGAAAGACCCCTTAATAACTAAATACAGTATATTCACAGTTGCTATCAAAGTCATTCCAAAGGATGGGTTTAAAAGAGCCAATGAAATGTAACCATACTTCGTCATATATCATCAATGATACTATTTAGGCCTGTGTACCATTTGCAAAGTCAGCAACAGCTTTTGTTTCAATTCAACCTAGAGTTAAACTAAAAATAGACAATACATTTAGGCCTAAGGTTTCAAGCTGTGGTTGATTTAAATTGAGTCATTAATATGTTGGATTCATGTCTCCATCTCAACCAATGCACTTTAAAAAAAATAAAGTTTAATTTGATTTAGTCCTGTTCTTTAACTTTGATTCTTGGTTGAAATGAAGACGTTAATCCAACATATCAATTAATCATTTGTAGACAAACTGGAATTAAAGCCAGACTAAATCAGTGGCACAAAATATGCATCTCCTTCAAATGTTGATTTTTGGTTGTGTTGACAACCAAACACAAGTAAATTACACTTTTGAAATACAGTAAATTGCCTATTAACCTGTCGACACCTGTTAACAAATTATATGTTGGATTCACGTCTCCAACTAAACCAAAAATGGAAATGTAAGAACAGGATGAAAGCCAGTGGCTCAGATGAAACTATCCAAGTATTAGATATCTTTTAAACGTTGATATTTGGCTGCGTTGACAACCAAACACAATTCAATAGTACTTTAGTAATACAGTACATGTGATGAGGTGGTGTTGAAGGAGTCAGGCGCAGGAGGGTAAATCACAGAATAACAGGCTTTAATCCGCAAAAATACAGGTTTACACAGAAATGCATCAAACACTGCAGGGCACAAAACAGGCACACGGGAAAATACTCCCGTCGATACAAAATACACGAGCTCCACCGAGCTTCACTAACCTCCACAAATAAACAATCACCCACACAGACTAGGAAGCAGAGGGAACACTTATACGATGATTAACGAGGGAATAAGGACCAGGTGTGTGTGTGTGATTGAAGACAAGACAAATGGAGTGATGATAAACGGATCGGCAGTAGCTAGTAAGCCGGTGACGCCGAACGCCGAAACCTGCCCGAACAAGGAGGGGAGGCAGCCTCGGCGGAAGTCGTGACAACACTAGTCACTTCTAATAATGTTTACATATCTTCCACTACTCATCTCATATGTATATACCGCATTCTATTCTAGAACATTCTACTGTATCTTCCATCGGCGGAAGTCGTGACAGTAAATGGCCTAGAGTCAAGGCTGTCTAATGTAACAGTATTTATTCAAATGAGTGACACATCCATGGTCACATTTTGAGGTTAGCCTTCTGTAACTATAAATGTCTTCTTAGAAAGCCTGTGTGTTCAAGACAGCATGCAAACGTCGCAGGTACGTGGAGATCATCACAATTGTTACTATACATCTGTGCAGAATCTTAAAACAGCATTGATCAGTTGCTATGTACTTTTAATGTAACCTCAACTGCAATCCCG